TGATTACAAAGTACTCGTATTTGATAACATTCCTGTGCACACACATACATACATACGCAACTGACGCTTTCTACCTGTTTGCGTCAATAAGTGATAACAAGTAATCGAAGTTGGATTACTAAAATTGATAACAGTAAAAACAAAACCCTTTTTAGTTGCAATTTGTAAATTTTATGGAATATAGTTCACATTTATAAGTTTAACTTTTAGTTACTTTTATGCAAAAATACAGTGATTTCTAATGTATACGTATTTCACACAATTGAAAGGCATAGTTCTGTATGGCATGTTCGGTAGTAAAGTAGGTCGATAATTATATATAGTTTCAGGCGGGCGCCTTTACCGGAGCTTCGACGATATAAAGTAAAGCGTTATTTCACCCCTTTTCAGGAAAACCTAATTTTTACTGGTAAATTTATAGAAAAATTAAAGTAGTATTCAAATACAATATGTTACAAGCCAAGGTTTAGTGAAATATAATAGAAAATTAATACCATTTGTTTTCTAAAATAATAACATTAACTTTAAAAAAAAATTATTAATGTTCGTTTGTAGCTTTTTGTATTTTATCTCGTGTCAATAAGCACTATTATATCTTTGTGCCATCGTTAAGAATGTTAGTGCGAACATGTGTTTATCTTTGCGTAAATACGTTAATGAAGCGAAAGCTTAGATAACTTATGTTCCGATAAATTATGGTGTAACACGACTACAGAAAAAATAACTTGAACATAACCATATAGCATTATTTTTTTTGTTTCTTATGGCTTTTCGGGGGTAAATGTATGACAAATGAATTTTCTTCAAGAATAAATGGTTATTAAGAGTCGTCTACTTAGAAAAAATAGTCGTTTTCACAGAACTGCATTCATTATCACATATTCTCATTAGGTTATATTCATGGTTTTCAAACAGTTAGATAAAATATCTAAATAACATTCAGTTTTACTACATTTTACAGTCTACATTCGATATAAAACAAATGCGAAAATCCTGCCAAAACTGAAAAATCCTTTGAGAATATTTTTCTCAAATAGAATAACAATTTATAAAGATTAC